GTGGTGTGTGTGTGTGGTGTGGTGTGTGTGTAGTGTCTGGTGTCTGTGTGTGGTATGTGTGTGTGTGTGTGTGTGCGTGTGTGTGGTGTGTGTGTCTGTGTGTGGTGTGTTTATGTGTGTGGTGTGTGTATGTGTGTGTAGTGTGTGTATGGTGTCTGTATGTGTGTGTGTGTGTGTGTGTGTTGGTGTGTGAGCATGATTGCAAAAGTCTAGAGAAAACCTTGAGGTGAGTAGAAGGAAGTGCTAAATTGGTTGTGGGATGTGCTGTCTTCTCCTAAGGTTAGAATGGCAGTGGTCAGGCTGACGGTACAGCTATGGGTGTCAGGAGCAGTTGCTGCAGATACAGAATAGAGGTCCTACAGGCATGAAATCATGCAACCGACAAGAGCAGTCTGACACACAGGAAGTACATGCGCCATCCCACTGCAACATGTGATCAGCAGAGAACCAGTCAATGATGGACTCCCTGAATGCCAGGGAGTGGTGGTGTCCAAATTGTTGGTAAGGACTGTGGGACCATTGTGCATTATTTGGCTCACAGGAACAGGAGTGCCCGGAGCCAGGGAGCTCTGAATCGTCTCTCTGGCCCAAACCTTGGTTCTGCCATTTATTAACCATGCAAAATCCCAAGTTACTTAGCTTTTCTGTACCTCAAGTAAGAGAGGAATAAACAGGACACATCCCATGTGGCTGCCGCAGGAACTATATGACTTCATGTGTCTGTAGCATCTAGCTCCGTGGTGCATGCTTGGTACTCTCTGCTGGGTTGATATGCTTGGGGATGAACCTTCATCTCAAGACCACATAAACCCACAAGGGAAACACACAGGGCTAGAACAATTACACCAGTGGATGCAGAAGGTGGGAACCATCCCACCACTGCAGTGGGAGAGCACAGACAGCATGGGGTCCTGGATTACCCCGAGTGGCAATAGATAGAATCAGAGACCTTGGCGTGAACTTGCATAGTTTCAGACTCACAGTTATACATAGAGATGTCTAGAACTCTGCTTGTGTGAGTGGTTATATAGCAAGAGGTCTGAGGCATGAGAGTAGGGTGATGAAGATGTACAGAATACAATGGTTCTCCAGTTAGTGAGGATTCAATACAAGTAAGACATTCTGCTCAGGGAGCCCTGATAGTTTGGTCTAGGAGACCCAGGAAGTTAGGGCCTATAAGAGAGCCTAGAAGTCTTTGTGTGTGTGTGGGGGGGGGGAGGAGCAGAGTCTCACTATGCATCCCTGGCTAGCCTGAAATTTGCTTTGAAGACCAGGATGGTCTTGAACTCACAGAAGTCTGCAAAGAGCTGGCGGCCAGCTGCTTTGCTTTTCCAATCTTCAGCTTGAAGTTTGAACCCAAATATCAGTCACTGGTTCTAGAGGAAGGAGTGAGATGTCATTCTGTAAATATGTTTCTCTTATTGGTTAATGAATAAAGCACTGTTGGCCAATAGGAAAGCAAGATAGGCGGGACTAGGAGACAAGGAGGCAAGAGGAAGGAGTAAGGAGGAGTCGCATGGAGAGATTGGAGAGAGCAGAACGCCGGCCCCTCTCTCCGGTAAGATAAAACCACGTGGAAATACATAGAAATGGGTTAATAATTAAGACAGAGCTAGCCGATAAGAAACAAGTAACTGGCCAACAGCTTTATATCAAATACAAAGTCTCTGTGTGTTATTTGGGGCTGGCACAGCAATAGGCCCAGGCCTGCAGGGAAAAACCTTACTCCTAATAGGTTCTTTTATTTTTTCATGTTTCAGCTCAGCAATGACAGCCATAGGGGAGCCAGCTTCTGATGAGCTCACTGCTCTTGGTTTTGCTAAAGCCTCCTTTATTGTTACACAGATTACACCTCCAGCAAGTCAATTTCCCATACCAAAACCTCTTATCTGGAGTTGTTTGAAGGAACTGTGAGACCTCCTGGTTTACCAGATCCCCAAAGACTAAAGGCTCTGGAATTCCTTTAAAAGAGCAACAACCCAGATAACGATCCCTAACTTTAAACAAAAGGTAACCACCCCTGACTGCGGGGTGAGGCTCTTGTACACTGTACACTCTTATTGGTTTAATAAAACAATGGTGGGCCGGTAGCCAGGTAGGAAGTACAGGCAGGTCGGCCAGACTAGGAGATTTCAGGGAAGAGGAAAGGTAGAGAGGAGTTGTCAGCCAGACACAGAGGAAGCAGGATGAGAAGGCCTTACTAAGAAAAGGTACCGAGCCGCGTGGCTAAACATAGATAAAAATTATGGATTAATTTTAGTAGTGAGAGTTTGTTAGTAATAAGCCTGAGCCATGGGCCAAACAGTTTATAATTAATATAAGCCTCTGTGTGTTTATTGGGGACTGAACAGCTGTGGGACTGGGCACAAACAGAAACTACCGTCTACACCTGACTTCCAACAAAAGGGAGTTCAAAGCCCAGGTGCTACCACTCAGGAATTCAAGCCAGATGCAATGGCTTTGTGGAATCTCTCTCTACACAGCAAGGGAAATAAACTAAGACTGTTTCCTCCTTCCTCTCTCCCTTCCTCCTGCTCCTTCCTTCCTTTCTTCCTCCATCTCCCTTCCTTCCTTCCTTTCTTCCTCTCTTCCTTTCCTAACAGAGATAATTCTGACATGAATTCCATCCTGTTATTCGAGGTGTCACTGGCTTATTAAGTGTTATTCAGCTTTCGCCATTTGGTAAAGGAGATCAGTTCTATCCCTCCATCTAGTGGGTTCCTGGGATTGAACTCCAGTCATCAGAGTTGCAGTCCATGCCTTTCCCCTCTGAGCCATTTGCCAGACCCATGATCACCTTTAAGACAGGAATGCACTTATTTCTGTTTGGAAACCATCGCTGAATGGTCAGTTTGTCCTTCTGCTTTTGTATCGTGAGTCAGCATTGTCATGATGATGAGGACACACAGCAGGTGAAGCTTATTCATCTCATAGCCAGGACGTTAAGGGAAAGGAAGACACAGGCATCCCACAATCCTCTCCAAGAGCACATCCCATCAACCCAACATTTCCCACCACCACATCCCACCAGCAACAAGCTGGGGCTCAAGTCCTTAATACACCGCTTTTGGGGTATCAAAGATCTAAACCAGTTACAATTATTTACTAATTCATTCCAGTCATTATTTCTAATACTTGAATTTCCCAGTATAACTAGAAATAATAAAGTTGTAGGCTAGGGAGACGACTCGGTCAGTAAAACGCTTGCCACACTGAGTTCTTATAACTCATGTCACAGCTGGACATGGCAGCCTGGACCCAAATCCCAGTGTTCAAGTTGGGGGACAGAGGCAGAAAAATCCCCAGAAGCTGGTAGCCCCCCACCCCAACCTAGCAGATGAAGCAGCAAACAGCTATAATAGACCATATTTCAAACAGGGTAGAAGCTGATAGTTGACACTTGAGGTTGTCCTGAGTCCTCTGTGTGCATGTCCCAAGTCACACACACACACACACACACACACACACACACACACACACACACACACTGAGGAGAGGCCGCAGGAGCAGCCCATTCAGCCTGAGGTAGTGGTAAGAGCTAGTGGCCCCCTACTTAGCTTTTCTGTTCTTCAGCTTGAGGTTTGAACCCCAACATTAGTCTCTGGGTCCTTTTATTTATCCCGTTAACAGAGACAACCTCAGTTCAAGCCCAGTGACAACACGGTGGCAGAGAACTGACCCCTGCACACTGTCCTCTGACCCCACGTGCGCACTGTGACGCGTGTACACCCCCACACGTACACAAAAATAACAGTGATATTAATGATGATTAATTAATTAATTAAAGTGTAAAATTTTAACGGTTGCCCTGTGTTGCGGGTTACCCTGCTCTGACACCCTTGGGGGAGGGGACGAGAAGCGGCAGCCCGACCACCCAGGCAGGGAGTCAGGGAGTAGCAGAGCGTGCTGCAGACCGCTTTATTGAGGAAGTCAGACCCGCCTTTATCCCCCCCCTCCCAAGGTGCCATTGGCTCAGGCGCTGACTCTGCTGTGTGTCCTTTCCTCATTGGTGTCTCTGGTCAGGTGTGTCTTCAGCAGCAGTCTCTGGGCGTAGAGGCAGGCTTGGCTCAGGGAGCAAGTGTCTGCCGCGCATGCTCGTTCCGGCTGGCCTGGGCACCTGGGCAGGATGGCTGCAGCCTGGGTAGACTGCCGCAGTCTCTCCTACAGCCTTGTCTCGTCTTGTCTTGCACTGCTGGGAATGCAATCTAGAGCCTTTTGTTTTGTCTCATTTTTGTTTTGTTTCGTTTTTCGAGACAGGGTTTCTCCGTGTAGTGCTGGCTATCCTGGAACCAGGCTGGCCTTGAACTCACAGAGATCTGCCCACCTCTGCCTCCTGAGTGCTGGGATTAAAAGTGTGCACCCCCACTGCCCAGATGAAATCCAAAATTTTATGTGAAGTGAGCAGCTGATGGCCGCTGAGCCACGTCCTAGTCCTTGGATTTTGTTTTTGTCTTTTTTTTAAATACAAGTTCTTACTGTATTTCCTGGACTGGCCTCAAACCCATGGTCCTCCTGTCCCTTCCCCCCAAGTGCTGAGATTAAAGGAGTTTGCCACCATGGCCAGCAAAGTTGCACTAGAAAAAACTCTTTCCTCTGAATAGACAATTAGCCTGGTGCACTCGGGAGGCACATCTGGAGAAAGAACACAAGACCAGGCTCCGAGGTCGAAGGCCCTTTGATTTCCAAAACTCATGTTTGGGGACCAGCCAGTATATTTTCCCTCCTAGTGGGGGTGCTGCTGGCTGGGGGTTGTAGGGTGCAAAGATGTGGCCCCTCTGCGTGTGGATGCTACTAGCAAAGCATCAAGGCATATCTTATCAGCCTGTCAAGGAGAATGGGCTCCTGCAAAAAGCCATTAAGGTCCAGAGGGCAAGAGGCTCATATACTAAGCCAGCCAGCCTTGGAGAAACTCGGCACATCCAGCTAGCAGCCAGTACAGAACAAGCAGGGTCCATAGCATCTGAGAGGCAGAGTAAACCTGCTCGCCTACCTGGATGAGGATGGAGAAGAAGGGGACAGGGACACCTCTGCCCACGACACACATGAAAGGAGTAAGTGCCAATTATGGAAACTGCCTCTCTTCCACGAACCTGGAGACCTTTGTATGCAGATAAGGGCCCTGGAATCAATCTGTCAAGGAGGGCTTGGAGGGGAGCGCCTACCCGGATGGTCACAGGGAGGCTGCCACACCCATTCCCCATGGCTCAGAATAAGCATACTCCAGAGACGCTTTGGGGGAGGGACAGATGGCGCTCCTGCTTCACAACCCTCCTCTACACAGTCCCTTCACCCCTAATGGCAAAGGCAGGACAAATGTGTGCCTAGAAACAGGAAAAGGGGGCCTCAGAGCTCTGACAGCAACTGCTTGGGTCACCTTCCCAAACAGCCCCCTCCCCCTCCTTCCAGAATGATAGTCAGCTTCCAGACAGATCTTCCTTTCCATCTAAGGAAGAACAGGAGGCCTAGCCTCCCTCACCTCACCCACCCTCAATCCTAGAAGCTCCAGGAACCAACCCCACAAGAGCAAGTCCCTGACCTTGGAAATCTCTCATACAGAGCCTCAAGCCCACACTGGCCCTGACCACCCTAAGTGCATCCTTTGGCTCAGCCTTCCAGTATGGCTACAACATCTCTGTGATCAACACACCTCACAAGGTGGGCACAAGGCGGGGGGTCCCACGGGTAGAAGTCAGATACTGTTTTGCTTCTGAAACCTTCGTCTTCTCCTAGACTCCCAGATGCCCACCTCTGAGGACCAGAGGCAGCAGAGGGATTTTCCCAGGCAATGTCATCTTTTCTAGACACATTAGTGCTAGGCGAGGGGACCTGGAGTCTGTGCTTAGGCACCTTGGGCTTTGGCCTCACTTTGGTCACCTGGGAGGGCCACGTGCAGATGACAGAGTCTCCGTTAGCAGCATTTAGGGACTGTGGTTGTGGCAAGGAGAAGCATCAGAGATAAACTTGGACTGGGATGAGTCCAAGAGGAGACAGATGGTGTAAAGCAGAAACCTGGGCAGGGCAAACCCAGTTGTAAAATGATTTTGCTATGTGGGAGAGAGAGTCCAAGAAGGAAGTTTAATAGGGGCATAATGAGGAGCCTACTTTGGGTTTCACGTAGCAGGCGCCATGTGTCTCTGGATGGGAGATTTGAGGTACAGAGGGAGAGAGCAACCAAGTGAGACTCACAAGGACAGATGCGGAAAAGATGTCCCTGAAGGAGCAAAGGGGACAAGGGCCTTGGGTGGCGGTTAATTCACTTAAGTGTGTAAATTCAGCAGTATTATTTAAAAAAAAAATTGGTGTCACAGAAGACAGGCACAGCAGTGCTCATCAGTCAGCCCAGATGCTGAGGAAGTGAAAAGGGAGGATTGAGAGTTCGAGCCCCACCTGGCTCAGTGAGGCCCTGCGTCAAAACTTGATGGATAAATAAATAAATAACTGTCATTAACTTACAGCTATTGTTTATAGGAGGAAAAGCAAGTAGTTACCTGCGGTGTATATACAAATGTGAATATGTACGGATATGAATTGCATTTATGTGCATTACATATACAGATACTAGTTACTTATTTTCTTGACGCAGCAGCTCTGATCTCATGAAGTTTTCAGTGGTATTACATTTTGCAGTGCTGAGAAGCAAACCCAGGGCTTTCATGCATACTAGGAAAGTATTTGTACCACAGAGCAACATCCCTAGCCAGGTTATTGTCTTTAAAAATATTTTATTTCACTAGGCATGGTGGTACACATCTTTAATACCAGCACTGGGTATCTCGTGAGTTCAAGAGAGACCCTGTCTAAAAAAAAAAAAAAAAAGAAACAAACAAAGAAAAAAGAAAAAAAGAAGAGAAATATACATGTAAAATTGCATTTAATTATGCCTATTCAGTCTGCCTCGAGTTTGTCTGAATATGTGTGGGGCATGTACTTGCCACAGTGAGTGTGTGAAGTCAGAAGACAACTTACAGGAACCCTCTCTCTGCTTCTCCTTGAAGGTCTGACTCAAGCCATCAGCTTTAGCTGAGTGACCACTGGGCCATCCCATGTCTCCCATTCCTAGGCTTATTGAGATATATATATATATATATATATATATCAAGCTGGCCCTGAGCCATCCTCCTGCCTCAGTCTGTCCAGTGTTGTGATTAGAGGCATGAGCTACTGCTGGCAGCCCTGTCCGAGGTGCAACAGTTGGCAATTGAAGTCCGAGGTGTCAGCCCACCAGGGTGTCTCTGGCTTCTGCTGTGCCTTTACTTATTTGCCCCTGCCATCTTTCTCTGGCATCTGGCATAGTGTGAATGGGTGTGGGGAGATCCCCACTGCCTGGAATGTAGTGTGCTTACCTCATGGAAACATCCCATTCTAGTGGGCATTTTGACTGTGGGTTATTATGAAGACGATTTCTTTCTAAGCTGCACTCTCTAACTGATAATAACAATGTTAGTTTCAATTGATGATTGAAAATCTAGGGAACTGATAGATCACAGTTAAGGTTAATGATTAAGAAAAACAGTTGAGTCCCAGGGGCCAGGCTGGCTTGAATTTTTTAAATCTTGATGTTGAAAGATGCAGTCATGGATTTCCGTGTGCAACGCAGCTGAAACAAAGCCTTAAAATGACTCTGGGTTTGACTGAGATGTTGTGGTAGCAGCTTTGAGATGAAAACCCCTAAAAGGCAGTGTGAAGTTCACAAAGATGTGTAGCAGAGGGATAGATTCCTATGTTAGGGACCAAAAGCCAACACAGTCCAGTTATTACCAGCTGACACACTCTCCTTGCTAGTACCGATTAGTGGTCAATGGTGAGGAATAATTGATTGTTTTTCCTGTATAAAAGTCTAGGTTTGTGATTCCTTTAAGATTACCTTTCAAGATAAGTAATCAAGTGACTGATTTGTTCTGTAACCACACTATTCAGCCTGCCAGCAAAAGAACTGGCTGAGAAAAATACCTTGCTTGCTCATACTCTGTTAATCTATAACAAATTGCTCGGGTATGAATGTATGTGGGTTCTTGGGACAATGTGCTTTTCACCTATAATCCATAAAATGTTCAGTCATATGAGGGATATGGAAAAAATGCTGTTTTTTTTTACCTGTATTCATTGTAATCATTCCCTTGAAAAATGGAATGTAACCACATTGCAATTTCTATATTGCTTGAAGGATTTTGCTGGGGGTATAAGCTATAAGGGAAAGAATGAAGAGTTTGAAGGATATCATCAAGAGAGACAGAAGGGACATTTCTGGATAGAAATAAGAATAGAATGGAGAATACAGAATAAAGAATATACAAGGAAACCATCAAAATGCTGGGCAAGTGTCTTTCCCCTCACTGGCCCCAGAGCTTGGAAGGATAGGCAAGTAGTCCACCACTGAACCACACCCCCAGTTTGGGATCCCTGTGTGTGTGTGTGTGTGTGTGTGTGCACGCACGCGTGCGTGCCCCAACTTTGCTAGAAGAGCCTCTGAGCTAGGGCATTGTGAGCCATCTGTCATGAGTGATAGAAACAAACTCCAGTCCTCTGCAAGAGCAGCAAGTGCTTTTAACCTCTGACCCATCTCTCCAGCCTCCCCTCTCCACCCTGATTTTTAAGGCAGAATCTAGTTCTATATGTAGCAAAGCTGACCTTGAAGTTCTGACCCTCCTGCCTCTACCTCTCCCAAATAATGAGATTACAAGTGTGCACCACCACAGCTGATCTTATTCTGGGTTGGGGAAGAAACCCAGGGCTTCCTGCACACCAGGCAAGTGCTCTACCATCTGAACTGCTTGCCCAGCCCTGGGCAATCTCATCTAAGGATGACACAGGTAACGTGCCATCACAATTATAATTAATGTGCTGACTAGTTTTATGTCAACTTTATGCAAGCTAGAGTCCTTTTAGAAGAGGGAACCCAACTTGAGAAAATACTCCCACTGGATTGGCCTGTGGGCAAGCATTTTCGTGATTGATGGCTGATGTGAGAGATTGCAGCTCACTGTGGGTGGGATCATCCCTGGACAAGTGGTCCAGGGTTGTATAAAAAAGCAGGCTGAGAAGCCCATGTGGAAGCAAGCAGGTAAGCAGCATCCTCCGTGGCCTCTGCATCAGCATCCTGCCTTCGGTTCCTGCCCTGAAGGTGTGAGCTGAGAGCTGTAAGATAGCATGAGAGCTGGAGAGACAGCTCAGATGTTTAAGAGCACTGGCTGCTGTTCCAGAGGATTCCCAGCACCCACATGGCAGCTCACAACTGTCTGTAATTTAAGTTCCAGTGAATATAACAACTTCATACAGATCTAGATGCAGGCAAAACACTAATGCAAATAATTGAAAAACATTTCGGCCAGGCGGTGGTGGCACAGGCCTTTTATCCCAGCACTGGGTACTCTATGGTGGTGAGGAGACTAACACTACAGCGGTTGACACGCTGCCCAAAGCCACCCAGTTAGTGTGACTCTTGCCTACACTGCTTCCGGCAGAATAAGGCCACGAAAGTGAGTGTTTAACCGTTTTTGTGAGCCTGGCTTCCCATCCCTTCCCCTTTGCACAGAGTGTTTATTTTGCTCCCAGGTGCCAACAGGGCGGCACCAGGTTCAGAGTGTCCTGTGGGTACAGGCAGGAATAGTATTCTACTAGACGGCGGGGAGCAGCTAAGAACACTTACATCCACATTTCTGTGGGTCGCATAGTATGCTGAGCAATGGATGGGGCCCTGTCTTTCAGGTCTTCAAGTCGTTTTATAATGACACGTACTTTGAGAGGCACGGAAAGTCCATGGACGAGAATTCCCTGCTACTCCTGTGGTCTTGCACGGTCTCCATGTTCCCTCTGGGAGGCTTGTTGGGGTCCTTGATTGTTGGCCTAATGGTCAATAAGTGGGGCAGGTAAATAGTGGATATCATTCCCAAACTTGAAATTCGTCACAGCAAGCCACAGGCTCTCCTGCTACGTAGCTGAGTCCGCCCTGAGACCAGATCTGAAAACAAGCTTCCACATCGCCACGCACATCAGGGTGCAAGCTAGCCAGACCTTTCAGGATCTCTTTCCTAGGCAGCAACATAGGAGAAGCACCCTTCCACCACCCACCCTGGAGGTGCTACACCCTCTGAGGTCAAGGTTCTAGTGGGACTTAGCTTGGTGAGAAGTAAGCGCTTGTGACACGTGTTCAGAAATGCCACTGAGGGAGATTCATTCTGGAGTCAGATGGCTTCTGGTTCTGACAGCACTCTTCACATGGGCTCAGCAGGTGTCCTGAAGTTGGGGACAGGGCTGCATGAGTCACCACGTGTGCCCGGTCTGTGCCCTTTGACTACTCACAGGCCCAGGGTACACAGGCATGACTGAAGATAAGGAGGGCAGTGCAGGTCAAGGTCCCCAGGAAGGGGAAGGCTGAGTTAAGGTCTCTGGGTGAGGCCCAGCTGCATTCTGCTTAGCCAGACCATGTTCACTTGAACTTGTCACACAGAGGCAGGCTGTGTGAGGGTGGGGAGTGAAGAGCCTATATGAAAGGTTACCCTAGAAGCATGGCAGTCTCTGTTTCATGCATTAAGGAACATATTACCCGTTGGAAGTTGTCTGTTTATGGAAAGTGAACCCAGAGGCCTCCCCTGGTAAATACTTGGTGGGCAGTGAATTTGTCCTTTCTTGAGCAGTTGAGTGAAGAAAGAATCATGCTGCAGGTCAGGCTATGTACGCTATCGCTTTACAAATATCCACTAGACTATTGTAGGAACCCAAGCTCCTTCTTCCTCCTCCTCAGGGATGAAACTTTGGTTGTGGAAGAAACTTAAAGACTTTTTTTTTTTTTTTTTTTTTTTTGAGATGGTGCTTCACTCTGTAGACCAGGCTGGCCTGTCACCCACAGAGATCCACCTGCCTCTGCCTCCTGGGTGCTAGGATTAAAGGGTAATACTCTTAAAGAGAGCATCCCTTGACTCATACTGCAAATGAGGAGCTAGGGGTTGAAATAGATTCAGCCTGCTAGTGCAGTCCCTATCAGCCTGAGCCTCCCTGAGGCCAGCAGGCTTCTTGGGGATCAGGACGGTAAGAGGGTACCAGGAATATAGAACTGTATGTGCTATCTACCCTCGTGGGTGTTCAGGGGCTCCAGGGCGAAGCTTCAGGCCTGTGGCAGCCCTAGGGAGTGGAGAGTCGCCAGAGGCATCCAGGGAGCACTCATGAGTGTTGATGAGCAGAGGACATTTTCATGGAGATCCTCCAGCCCTTTGGCACCTGCAAAGGTCAGGAGCTGTGTCCTCAAACTGACAGCTCCGGGTCTGAAGATAGGGAGCAATTAGCAGCCTCCTGAGTGGTTATGGCAGAGCTCAGCTGGGATCTAGCCCTTGGGGGTGGAGGCTGGAGCACTGGCTACAAAGCAAATGTGAGGCCAATCCCGGGCCTGGAGGTCATGAAGCTGGGGGCTACTTTACATACCATTGGGTTTCATTGTAGAGGACATCTAGTCCTGTTAGGCCCAGTCAGAGGGACCCGGAAAGGACCACCACCAAGGAGACGACTCAGCAAATGCAAAAGCAAAGGTTTCTTTATTAATCAAGCTGCATCAGGGATCTCGCCCTTTCCAGAGTGAATGAGATGCCTCTTCACGGCTAAGGGGGTTTTATGGGGAAAGGTAATAAAGCTGAAAGTCTCAGGACTACAAAGTTTCCATGATTACACAGGGTAAACCAATGACTATATGCTTAAGCAAAATGCAATTGAACAGGAAAGGGCAGGGGACATTTGGTCATGAGTTTGTTAGTTACCCCCCCCCTTGCTGGGGGTGGGGTTACAGCTGTTGATGGGTGGTATCTGTTCTTCTTTGGGACAAAGGAATGTTTACACAGCTGGGCTCCAGGCTTCTCTTCATGTCCTGGGTCGGGGTCAGATTCTTTTCTCCAGCTTCTTCTTTTGTTTTGTCTAAGGGTGCTCAAGATCAGAAATTCCCTTTCCCCCTCTACGGACTTTATTAATTGTTCCTATTACAGTCCCCTTTGGCACCCATCTGTCATGGAATCTATCTGGTCAGCATCCTTGGCCAGCATCAGGTCTGGCTTAGACATCACTAGTGGGGGGGGGGTACTTGACTAACCCAGCCAGCAGAAGCTCAACCCCCCCCAGAAGCTTCAGTGTGGGGAGTACACGCCCCCTCCGCCACTCCTGTTGGCTGGAACTTTGACACACTTTCCCTACTGTTTCCTGTTCTTGGCCAGCTTGGGCTTTCTTCTGTTTGTGTGGAAAGAGCCGTACATGTCACAAGAGACTGGTCCCGTCTTGAGGAGTGCCCCTCCCACCACCAGGCCCACCAAGTCATCTGAAGGCCCTGAGGGGCGGGGATTGCTGCACAAGCATGACCCTGGGGGACACCCCAGCACGCAGCCCCACCCACCAGCACTTGTCAGCCCCTTTGTAGGGAACAAGGGGACAGCCTGGAACACCGGGTTTGGTGTGAAAAGACCTGTTCTGAGCACCCCTGTCCTCTGGGTCCCACTCTCTTGCAGAAAAGGGACACTGCTGATCAACAATGTCTTCGCTGTGACCCCTGCCATCCTGATGGGAGTCAGCAAAGTGGCCCGGGCCTTTGAGCTGATCATCTTCTCTCGAGTGCTGGTGGGAATCTGTGCAGGTACCCGGAGTGGTCCCCGAGACCCGGGTGGGTCTGGTGTGCACTGGTGAGGGGGAAGCTCTGAAACATGGGCGCCCAGCACCAAGGGCCAAGGCCAGACACGGGGGTCTAGCTATCTGCTAGCTGTCCTCCCCAGCTGTCATCCATTTTCCAGTCCTAGGCCCTAGCAAGTCCCATGCTCTCTAGCTCCTCCCTCCCTCCCTCCCTGCATCCCTCCCTCCCTCCCTGCATCCCTCACTCCCTCCCTCCCTCCCTCCCTCCTTCCCTCCCTCCCTTCCAGGAATCATAGCACATACAGGGCAGAGGCAAGTGGGTTGCTGTAGATTCAAGTATGGTGGAGGAGAAGGTTTATTTTAGATAACAGGGAGGGCATAACCAGAGGTACCTGGAAAGGTCCAGACTGAACATGACCCTGAGCTGGACCATGCGAGGGCAGGCAGGAGGGGCAAGGACAGAGCCAAGCGCCAGGCGCCAGGAGGGTAAAGGTAAAAAGGAGCAGTGTAACCACAATGACTGTTGTATAGGGAAGAGATGCTGGGAGACCAGCAGCCTGGCCCAGTCCCTGGGCTGCAGACATTTAGGGCAGGATGTATGCACACCAGGCAGGAGGACTCTCTAACAGGTAGGGACTGAGGGATGCTGGGAGAATCTGGCAGCCAGAGTCTGCTTTGAGATATCAAATAGGAACCTCAGCCATTTCTCCAGGGTTTGAGATCTCCCAATCATGAGATCTTGTCTGGAAAGGGAGGAAGAGAGAGAGGGAGGGAGGGAAGGAAGGAGGGAAGAGGAAAAGAGGGAGGGGGAGGGAAGGAGGGAGGGAGGGAGAAAGGGAAGGGGCAGGGAGGAAAGCAGAAGACAGAAAGGAGCTGGGAGGAAGGAGACATTTTACTGTGAGAACATTTAACAGCCCAGTTTGGCAGCTATGTGCCAAGGAGGGCAAACAGTTTAAACTGAGACCGAATGGCTTCGAGAGCAAAGAGTAGAGAATCCGGTGTCTCTGTCTCAGGCAGCCATTAGGATTCTTTTTTTTGAAAATTTTGTTTGTTTGCTTGTTTTTGTTTTGTCTTTTGTTTTTTTCCAGACAGGATTTCTCTGTGTTGATTTGGAACCTGTCCTGGATCTAGCTCTGTAGACCAGGCTAGCCTTGAACTCACATAGATCCTCCTGCCTCTGCCTCCTGAGTGCTGGGATTAAAGGTGTGTGCCACCAACCCCCAGCTGCCATTAGGATTCCTCTTATTTTTAAAAAGTGAGAGAGCTAGAGCTAGCAATGTATGTGGCTCAGTGGTAGAGTGCTTACCGTGAGTGTGTGTGTGTGTGTGTGTGTGTGTGTGTGTGTGTGTGTGTGTGTATCTATCCCTAGGTTCAATGCACAGAGCCTCACCCACAGAAAATAAGGAAAGAAAGGGCTGGGTATAGCTCAGAGGTAGAGCACTTACCTAGCATGCATTGTACCACAAGCAAGACGAAACGAAGACTATGTAAGTGACTAGCGCTTAAGAAATAACAGATCAATCAAAATAAGGCTTTAATATTGAAGCTCATATAGAGTTACCACAGTGTAACTCCTCTGCTCAAGAGTAGTCTGGCCCAGGAGCCAGGAAGGTAACAGTATCATTTTTGAATGATGCAGTAAAGAAACCAAAATAGCTACTCTGTACCTGAAGAGGGGAAAGTTTACCCCAAACTGTCAAGGCTTTTTCTCTGGAAAGCAGAGAAAAGTAGTGGTGGAGGTGTGTGGTGGTAATAATGGCTTTGGTGGTGATGGTGGTGGTGATGGTGGTGGTGGTGATGGTGGTGATGATAGTGATGGTGGTGATGGTGATGGTGGTGGTGATGGTGATGATGGTGGTGATGGTGATGATAATGATGATGGTGGTGGTGATGGTGATGGTGGTGGTGGTGTATAGTAATGGTGGGGGGTGAGACATTTCTAGGGTTTTAAGGGAGTAGGTACCTGAATGGGGGGAGAGGAACCTGTGAACTAGGGTGCAGGGCTTTGAAGTCTATAACAGGTGCTTGTGAGTACCAATTGATGGAGCCTAAAGGCTAGCCTAGACCTTATGTACCACAGGCACAGATTAATGGAGGAGCCATAGGTCCCTGTTGCCAGAGACAGAAATGACCCCTTTTAGCATTTGGTACTGTTTTCTCACACTCCTGAGGGAATGCCTGCCTTTGTCTAAAAGCCAGACTTTGGGAAAAAGAATTTCTTGGCAGACCATTTTCACACTGTAGCAGGGCTGAAAGGGGAGGGTCGGAGAGACTGTGGTTGCAGTTCCAGGATTGAGAGATGGGTGGAGTACACTGAACACTGCTCTGAGAACCAGGTGCCTGCTTCTGATGAGCCTGATTCCCATTTTGTCTGAATCAGGCATCTCCTATAGCGCCCTCCCCATGTACCTCGGAGAACTGGCTCCCAAGAACCTGAGGGGTGCCATAGCAACAATGACCGAGGTATTTGTCATCGTTGGCATCCTCCTGGCACAGATCTTCAGTCTGCAGGCCATCCTGGGCAATGCCACAGGTAACCAGCAACATGCGTGGGTAGGGTGGGGCAGTGCGTGGCTGAGCCCGAACTTACCAATGGTCTAAACAGGAAGAAGGTGTTTTGGTGACCTGTAGGTCAGCTTGTGGATATAGAGATAAGCCAGGCTAGGCCGGCCAGCCAATGAGCTCCCTGGACCTGCTTGCCAATGCTCTCCCACCCCACCCCACCCCACCCCACCCCATCCCCAACCTCCCGGCAGAATGCTGGGGCCATGGGTGTAGACTGGCACAATATTTTAGGTGGGTCCTGGGGAGTCAGCTGAGGTCTTCATACAAGAGTTCTTACCCCCCAAACCCTCCTCTCTTTTAACACGGATGCCCTTTGTGGGCAGCCGCATCTTGGCAAGGACTAGGTGCCCACCACTCTGGCTACCACCTGGTTGGACAAGGGGGGGAGGGAAAGCAGGAGAAGACACCTGGGCCCCTGCGGCAGATTCACGTCTCGAGCCGTCATGATTGTCCTGTCCAGGTTGGCCAATCCTCTTGGCTCTCACGGGGGTCCCTGCACTGATTCAGCTTCTCTCGCTGCCTTTCTTCCCCGAGAGCCCCCGTTACACTCTGATTGAGAAAGGGGACGAAGAGACAGCAAGGCGAGGTATGGAACACGGGCTACTCAACCACAGTCCCCAGTGCACAAAGACAGCACGGAATGGGCAGGTGCCACCTGGTGAGATCGCGATCGGGGTCAGGGTCACTGTGGACAGGGTTTGAGAGCAGAGAGCTTGCGCTGGGTGCACAGGGTGACCGGGGTGAGGCCTGGGTTCTGGAGAAGGGTCCAATGGAAGCAGAGGGTGAGTGTAGCGTGCCGCCTCTCTGCCCTGCAGCCCTACGGAGGCTGCGAGGCTGCAACTATGACGTGGAGGCCGAGATGGAAGAAATGCGTGAGGAGGAACGCAAGGAGCAAGCGGAGGGTCGCCTGTCCGTGCTCAACCTCTTCACCTTCCGGCCCCTGCGCTGGCAGCTCATCTCCATCATCGTGCTCATGGCCGGCCAGCAGCTGTCCGGAATCAACGCGGTGCGAGATGCCACCTCTCCCCAGAGTTCTGGTCCCCTTGGGTCTTTTTTAAATGAATTTATAGAAAGCTCGGAAGTAATATTTTGCATTTTGATTCCTGAGAGGCTCAGTCTGACCTCCAGGAGAGATGAGCTGCAAAGTTGGTGCTGGGTGCAGAGGTCCCCGGGGAGCATAGTGCATGGTATTGTTCTGGGTGTTTCCTTTACAAGAAACAGGACTTAAGCCTGCAAGATGGTTCAGTATGATGGCGCTTGCCACCAAGCCTAACAACCTGAGTTTGATCCCTGAGATCCACCATGTGGAATGAGAGAAACACACACACACACACACACACACACACACACAGGGTGGGGGGAGTGATAAATAAATGCAATAAAGATGAAACTCAGCCAAGCCAATACACACAGTGGCTGGTAAGCCAATGGCAACAAGCGCCCCAGAGTGGCTCTTGTCTATCACCAAGAGCTAATGGCAGGGGATAAAACCAAGCATTATGAGCTGGACCAAGAGAAATTATGATGTTCCTGATAATGTGAATATCATCTGAGGGGGACAGTGTCGTGGGGACCTCCAAACTCATATAGAGGTTTCTCGTTGATGGATTTCAGGCATGGCAACTGTCCACATATGCCTTGACACATGTTAGCACATGGCTAAACATTCATGAACATAAGATAAAAATAAGTACATCATTAAAAAGGGGGGAGAGAGAGAGAGCGAGAGAGAGAGAGAGAGAGAGAGAGAGAGAGAGAGAGAGAGAATCCTTCCAGAAAGAGAAAGCAAAACTAGGTCTTATTTACAGAAACTGGTGGCTGCACTAAGGTAATTCAGCCACAAGCATGGTCCTGAGGAGCTAGGACAGGACATCCAGGGCAAAGAGGCAGCTCAGACCCTCTCGAGCCTCTCCCTGCCATTCACAGTGTTCTTGCTATGTACATTTCTTCTTTGCTCCTTGGTCCCTAAAAGAAAGTCTCCTGCATGTAGTTATTTACTCTCTCTGTGAGGGACCTGGTCCCATTCACGAGCTCCAGGGAAGGCTACAGATTGGTCCATCCCGGGTGAGGAGGCCCTGGTAGGCTGATATGCTGTGGAAATATGACGCCATGCTCTGTGGAGGCTGCTTTCACTCTACCTGTGGATGGGCAAATATCTAGAGAATCTCAAATGTCCATTCTGGAGCTGTTGGAGAAAGGACAGGTGACCCTGCTGGTGTCTAAGAAAAGTAACAGGAAGAGGTGACACCTGGCCTTCCAGAGTTGAATTGTTTGGCCAGTAATCTTGGGAGCCACTCAGTGGGGATCACCCTGGGACTGGGCCAGAGTTGGCCCCAAACAAGGAAGAGCCTGAGTTGGCAAGGTGTAAAGTCACATGAGGAAAGATGCTCCCATTTTACACAGCACAGAAGCCAAGACTCAGAGACAGCACAGCCTAAACTCAGCAGAGTCAGATCTACCAGGAGCCTAACTTCGCCACTACCTTCTGTGTCCATTCCAAGCCAGGCTCCCCAACCCAGGCTTCCAGTGACATGCCTCCCTCCAGGCCTGTGTTCACAGCTCTGTCTGTGCTTTAGGTCAACTACTATGCAGATATCATCTACACCTCGGCTGGTGTGGACCCCACCCAGTCCCAGTACGTGACAGTGGGCTCTGGAGTAATCAACTTGGTGATGACTATCGTCTCGGTGAGTTATTGGGGAGCAGCCTCTCTCTTGTTGCAGGGCTCCCCAAACAATCCCCCCAAATGGAATAGAGATGCCCCTCAGGCCAGGTAGCATGCAGGTGACCCTAGTCCTGCAGGCACTAACAATTTGAGTAACCTTGGTCAAGGGTTGGTGTGTAGCTCGGTTGGTAGAGTGCTTGCCTAGCATGCACAAGTTCCTGGGTTCAATCCCCAGCACTTATGTCAAACTACACCTGATGCCTCATACTTATAATCTCAACACTTGAGAAGTAAATGCAGAAGGATCATAAATTCAAAGTCATCCTTGATGATATAATGAGTTCAATACCAGCCAGGGCAACATGAGACTCAAAACCAAACAAATGCTCCAAAACCACATATGATGGCTGTTCTTGCTCATCAGCCTGACTACATCTGGAATTAACTAAAACCCAAGCAGCTGGGCACACATGTAAGGGTTTTTTTTTTTTTTTTTTCTTAATTAAATCATTTGAAGTAGGAAAACCCACTCTTACTCCAGATCTTGAGTCAGGAAGACCCGCCCCTAATCTGGCCACACCTCTGCTGGCAGCCTATGAAAAGGGCATGGAAGAAGGAAGCCTTTTCTCTTTGCCAGCTTGCTCTCACTCTTGCTTCACTCGCATTAGAGCCTAGTTCTTCATGGCTCCAGCATACACGGAAGACCAGTTGAGACATCCAGCCTTATAGACTGATCAACTACTGGATTCTTGGACCTTCTGTTGGTAGATTAGCCATTGCTGGACTAGCTGGACCACAGCTTGTGAGCCACTCTAATATATATATATATTCATTAATATATATTCATTCAACTAATTATATTATCATTCAATAATAAATCCATATATATTCATTCTGTTCCTCTAGGGGACCCTGACTAATATAAACCGTGGTACCAGGAGTAGGGTATTGCTGTGACAGACCTGACTATGTTGTTTAGGGGAGGATTATAGAGGGACTTTGAGACTTTGGCCTAGGAAGGCCATTGAGTGTTCAAAGGTTGGTGAGCTTTGTGGAAGATAAGAATGTTGAGAGCAGAGATAGAAAAATAACTCAGAGGTTAAGAGATCTGGTCGCTCTTCCAGGGGTCCTGAGTTCAATTCCCAGCAACCACATGGTGGCTCACAGCCATCTGTAATGAGATCTGGCGCCCTCTCCTGGCCTGCAGGCATATACGCAGGTAGAACACTACATAATGATAACCTTTTTAAAAATGCTGAGAGAAGGCAGTGCCGATGATGGAGGCCTGGCTTGTGAATTTCCAGAAGGAAGCTCGTGAGTCACCTAACAGCTCTCTCAGGGCTGGTTGCTATTTTGAGTTGGGAATCTGTGGTTCTTTCTGGTCAGCTGGGGCTGAGGAATCAGCTGTGACTGAGGAAGGACCAGCATCCGTGAGGGAAACCTTCTGGAAGTGTTTCCTCGGGGTCAGCACGCAGAGGTTATGTCCCAGAGGCCAAGGTTGTACCTCCAGCCGGCAGCTGAAGTTGGTGATGTGTAGGCGTCACCCAGGTGGTTCTGCCCCTGAAGGCAGGAAGGGACCCTGAAGAATAGCTGAGGTTTGAAGTCAGGAAGGGCCAACGGTGCAGGGCAGCCTCGCTAGCCTCGCTAGCACTGAAGGGGCCGGGCAGGGTTGAGGCACCATGAGGACAGCCCGGGAGGCATGTTGGTGAAGGCACGGCGCAGCAGGAGACCCCAGGGTTTTGGTGGGGGTGCCAGTTTGACCACCAAGGACCGTGCGGATGTGGAGTGGAGCCTGCCCAGGCTTAGAAAGCAGGCTGTGTGCTCCTCAGAGGACGGAGACAGAGAAGAGACCCAACCCCTTTGGAGGGACAAAGGTCATGCATGAATCTCAGACATTAGACACCGAGTGACTTACAGGGTTGGAGTTCAGGTGTCTTTTTTCCGATTGGGACTGCAGACCGCCTCTTCCTCTTTGAAGTAAGAAAATAGACTTTGGGTTTTAAAAGAGACTGGATATTTGTTTGTGTTTCATGTTTTTTGAGGCGGTTTTCCCTGTATAGGCATCGATCTGTAGACCAGGCTGGCCTTGAACTCACAGAGATCTGCCTGCCTTTGCCTCCTGAGAGTTGGGATTAAAGGTGTGTGCCACCATGCCCAGCTGGGACTGAGTATTTTTAAAGAGACTTTTAAAGTATTTGAATCTGTAAGACCAGGGCTTTTCAGGCTTGTGAAATAGTCTATACTGTGATGTCTTCATTACTGTGCCATCTAGGGGATGAACAAGAACGGAAAGGTTGTGGCTTAACAGCGATGTGTTTGTGTGTCAAGTTGACAAGGACTCAGTTGTGCTGGCTAGTTTTCTGTCAACTTGACACAGACTAGAATCACGAGAGAGAGAGAGGGGGGGGAGGGAGGGAGGGAGAGGGAGGGAGGGAGGGAGAGAGAGAGAGAGAGGCCTCAATTAAGAAAATGCCTCCAGAGTTCTGGGCTGTAGGAAAGCCTGTAGGGCAGGCTTGACTAGAAGGATGCTAATTAGAACACCTGCCTGCAGGCCCATTGCAGGAACTGGAATCAGCTGGTGTTAACTGCAAGGTCCTGGCTGAGCTGGCTGCTGGGGAGGATGGAGAGAAACCAAAATGGGTTTTGCTGGGTTTTTGTTTGTTTGTTTTAAGATGTATTTTTTATCCTATACACAGTGTTCTGCCTACATCCCAGAAGAGGGCACCAGATCTCCTTACAGATGGCTGTGAGCCACCATGTGGTTGCTGGGAATTGAACTCAGGACCTCTGGAAGAGCAGCCAGTGCTCTTAACCTTTGAGCCATCTCTCTAGCCCTGAGAAACCAAAATGTTTCTAGGGATGCATAATGATATCACAAAAGAATGTGTTGGTGTCTTAGGCTACTGTAGCTGGGATGAAACACCATGACCAAAAGCAACTTGGGGAGAAAAGGGTTTATCTCTCTCACAGTTCCACATAACAGTGCACCATCCAGAGGAGTCAGGACAGGAACCCAAACAGGGCAGGAACCTGGAGGCAGGAGCTGATGCAGAGGCCACAGAGAGGAGCTGCTTACTGGCTTGCTCATCTTGGCTTGCTCTGCCATTTTCTTATAACACCGTTAGCCCAGGGTTGGTACCACTCATAATGGACTGGACCCTCCCACGCCAATCACTAATTAGGAAGATGCTCTACAGGCTTGCCTACAGCCCTGTCTCATGGAGGCATTTTTTCAATTGAGCCTTCCCCCTCCCATGACTCTAGCTTGTGTCAACTTGACACAGAACTCACCGGCACCACAAAGATGACCGCTGCCGCCCAGAAAAGGTCAGACTGGAGCACTGTGGCGATCCCGGGGAACCAAAGAGGAAGTAGGAGAGTGAAGCCAACAACATCATCTCTGATACTGCTCTCAGACTCTGAGTCTCCGGGGACAGACAGAACTGTTACAAGCTTTTGCTGTACAGGGCAGCTCACAACCCACTGTAGCTAATTCCAGGAAATCTTGCTCCCTCTGCTGTCCTTCCAGGGTACTGCGTACACAGTGTCCATTATAAGTCAAGCAGGCACACGTATCCACACAGAAAATTTAATGTGGTTATTATAGGAGTCTGTAAATGACGACAATCACATCCCAAGGTGTAACTTACACCAAATATGACACCTAATGTAACAGAGGGCAACAAGGGCCAAGCAGGAGAGGGTGGAGGTTTCAGGTTCAACCCTTCCACTAAGAGCCTCCCCTTCAACCACTCCCCTGCAGGCAGTTGCCGTGGAGCGTCTGGGGCGGCGGATTCTCCTGCTGTCTGGCTATGGCATCTGTGGCTCTGCCTGTGTGGTACTGACTGTGGCACTCCTCCTTCAGGTCATTTTCTCTTGTGCTGTTCTGTTGGGTGGTGAGGGAGGGGTTCATAGGGGCTTCGAGGTCCCAACTGCATGGGAGGGTCTCCGCCCTTTCCAGCTGCCTGCCTTCATAAAACCCATTCCCAGCGTGGAGTTCATGAGTGATTCTGCTCCAATGGCCCACAAACACAGGCCTGTGACTCAGTATGTTGCTGGAATTACAGGCCGTTGTGAACCTCCTCCGGTACATGCTGGGAATTGAACTTGAGTCTTCTAGGAGAGCAACAAATGCTCTTAACTGCCGAGCCATCTCTCTAGCCCCTGGGCTCTGATTTATAAGTGCAGTTGAGGCAACCCCCTGCAATGGGGACACCTGGGCCCAGACCCCCTCACTCCCCTCTTGGACTCTGCCAGATGTCAAGAATGCTAAGTCCCAGTGTTCAAAATATCTTGAAGACTAGATCCAGTTGAACCTGGAAAGGAAACAATTCCGATAGGTACTATAAAATACTTGGGGACACTGGGAAGTGCTGGCATGTCTTTAATCCCAATACTCAGGATATCTGGGAGTTCAAGGCCAGCCTGGTCTACAAGAGTGAGTTCAGGATAGCCAAAACTACACAGAGAAACTCTGTCTCAAAAAACCATAAAAAAAATACTAATAAATACATATTTGGGGACTATGTAGCCCTGGCTGGCCAGGAACTCGTATAAAGCAGGAGGAAATAATAGAAGGGGAGAGATGGTGTCCCTCTGTCAGAAGCCCTGGCTGTCCACCATCTATGGCATCCACCATGCCATCGGTGGCTCTCTTGAAGCATCCATCATGATTCTCATTAGCTAGCAGGCTACTTAGCTTGGAGCCTGCCATTCCGTTTGGCTTAAGCCTATTAACCTGGTTTTGTTTGGTCATTGAGAGCAGGGAGGTGCCCTGGGAGCCCCTGGAAGGGTTCGCACCAGACAATTGTCAAATGAATTGAAATCCCCACCCAGTCACCTCAAGACTGTGACCCTCTGTTGCTCTGTCCCTGAGGGGCTGCGGTCCTCCTGGTCTGTGTTCAGGGATCTGTGGGCTCTGAGTCCACATTTGTGGGGTAGAAACAATGCTATCGACACTCAGAGAAGGTTACATGAAGATAAGTCGCAGTCAGTCTGATTCAAATAAGGGACAGGCAGCTCTCCCCATCCCCATCAGGTAAGGATGCGGAAACCTTGATGAATGGGGCCGTTCTGTCTCCACCCTTATCCTCGTGGCCTCAGAATTTCTGCAGCAGGAGGGTGGAAGCCACAGGGGGACTCAGATTCCCCTAAGGCTCTTGGCTTGAGACTCATAGCGCTGCTTTTCCTACAGAGCACAGTCCCTGAGCTGTCTTACCTCGGCATCATCTGTGTCTTCGCCTACATCGTGGGACATTCCATAGGGCCCAGTGAGTTCTTGCATACCTCCTCTGCCTATGCCAGTCTCTGGAGCCTGGCACACGCTGGCACTCAGTAGATGCTTGTGGAATGGGAAAGGGTGGCTGCCCTTCATTCACTTCCCTCTTACCGCAACTGCTCAGCCTCTGACCTACCGCAACCCTTCAAACAGCTCAGCCTCTGACCTATGCAGCCCATGCTCTTTCTTCACTTTTGGTTTTTATTCGTTTTGGTTTGGTTTGGTTGGTTTTTCAAGACAAGGTTTCTCTGTGTAGCCCTGGCTCTCCTGGAACTCATTCTGTAGACCAAGCTGGACTTGAACTCACAGAAGTCCCCCTGTCTCTGCCTACTGAGTGCTGGGATTAAAGGTGTGTGCCACCACTGCCTGGCCTGTTTTGGTTTTTTTAAATCTGGCCCGTACTGTACATCCTTGGCTGGCTTTGAACTCACAGCCCTCCTGCCTCAGTCACCAAGTACTAGGATTACAATTGTGCATTACTCTGCCCAGCTTTAGACCGACTCTGTTTTTTAAAGTGTATTATTTATTTCATTCATGTATATATACATGATGAGTTCCAGGCCAGTCAGGACTACACAATCCTCTGCTACAAAGTGAGTTGAAAGCCTGCCTGAGATAAACGAGCTCTTGTCTAAATCATACATTTAATTTCCTAGCTGTCTATTTATTGTTTTTTTTTAAACAAAGTTTCTCTTTGTAGCCCTACCTGACCTAGAACTTGCTCTGCAAACCAGGCTGGCCTTGAACTCACAGAGATCTGCCTGCCTCTGCCTCCCGAATGCTGGGATTGAATAGGGCACCACCACTGCCCAGCCAGATTTATTTTTTACACGTTATTCAATATCTGTAGTTCCATATGCTTGCATGTTGTCCAGTGCGCATGTGGAAGTCAGAGGACAGTTTGTGGGAGGTGGCTCTCCCTTCTTCACTATGTGAGTCTCAGGGTCGGCTCAGGTTACCAGGTTTGGCAGCAAACACCTTTACACACAGAACCATCCTACAGGCCCCTAAAAAATACTTTGTTTTTCATGGAGGTAGCAATTAGGGGAAAACGTGCTACAGTTTGAGGCAAGCCTCCTTATGGGAGAATAAGGAGACAGCTGAAAAGGACTGGCACTGTCGTGCCCACAGGGGGCAGCAATGTGCAAGCCAGGAGCTCACGGGGCTTAGCAACTCCCTGAATTTCAAAAAGGGCTGGAGAGGATTTGCACTGTGGGACCCCGGGAAGCTTTCCATCTGCTGGATTGCTACAGACCTTCACTGGCATCCAGCTGAAGACAGTGTGGCTGCCACTCCTAGCCTTTGCTGCAGTTGGGGGTAAAGATGGACATCTTTTCAATTCCCAGGCCCAGCAGGGGTGGTCCACACGGGAAGGGAAGGTGCTCAAAAGATCTGGGATTCAAACTGAGGTCCTAGCAGCCTTCAGGGCCCTCTGAACCTTCCTTCTGCCCAGGTCCTGTCCCCTCAGTGGTAAGGACAGAGATTGTCCTGCAGTCCTCTCGGACAGCTGCATTCACAGTAGATGGGGCTGTGCACTGGATCTTCAACTTCATCGTGGGCTTGGCATTCCCATCCATACAGGTGAGTGGTCCTTCGTGCCCTGCCTTGCCTCAAGGCAGTGGGTGCTTCCTCCCTTAGGAAAAACCTCCCCAAGGCTAGGGATGTGGTTGGGTTTCCATGTAGCGTGCACAGAGGGTTCTCAGCACAGCATTAACTGCATATGGTGGTGGTACAGGCCTGTAAAACCAGCACTTGGAAGGTGGAGGCAGGAGGATCAGACATTCAGGGCCACCCTTAGCTACATAGAGATTTGAGGCCAACCTGGTATGTGAACTCTGATCTCAAAACACAGCTACCAATTAGAAGCTACCAGGATTAGCCCTCGGGTGCTGCATGTGAGACTTGCTTCAGCCAGTTCTTTGTATTTACTTATTTCCCTGAACTGGCAAACCCAACATGCATGATAGGCAATACCCTCCCACTGCAGGTATGCCCCGCCTGGAACTCTGAATCCTCCTGCCTCAGCATCCATAGTACTGGGATTAGAAGCACATGCCACAGCACCCAATGTGAAATCCATTAGTAAGCCAAGGGGCTTGCATCTCAGAGTCGGAAATGGCTTTTTGCTAAAGACCAAAAATGACAGTGTCAGAGGAGGGGTCGACCCTGCTACCTCCCTCCTCTGAGTCAGCCGGACCCAGACTTGCAGTGCAGGAAGAACCCAGAGCCTGTGAATTCCCCGGGAGCCAAACACTAAAGATCCCTTTTGGAGGACTGGGATGGCCCCTGTTACCCACTGACGTTTCCTCTAGGAGTAGAATAAAATTGACCAGGAAGAAAATCCCTGTGGCTCACAGAAGTGCCAAGTGTGTTGTCTGAAGGGTCTCCCTCCCGTGCGCCTCCTCTCCGCTCTAGGTGGCCATCGGGGCGTACAGTTTTCTCGTCTTTACCACACTCTGCCTCCTCACCGCTGCTTACATCTATGTGGTAATTCCTGAGACCAAGGGCAAGACATTTGTGGAGATTAACTGTGCTTTTGCCAAGAGAAATGGAGTGGAGTTCCCAGAAGGGAGTCAAGTGACGATAGCCAAGATGGCCGAGCCTCACACACCCTCTCTCCCTGCCCAGCAAACGGCCTTTTGATGGCTCTGCAGACCCTCGCGGACTCTGGCTTCCTTCTTTGAGAAGGACACTCGGGGACCAGGTCTTCAGAAAGGGTAACAGCTCTGAGACTTTGGTGTTCCCGTGGCAACTGGAAGTCCTTGGAAACCACAGCGCTGCTTTATTTGATGAGTGGTCGGCTTCCAAGACTAACCCGAGAGGGACAATGTAGATGGATAGGAGCTGACTCTGGTTCTATATTAACTCCAAAACTTTTATCAGGTATGGATGCATTTTTAAGCTAAAGCTTTACAAATGCAGGGTCTTAGCTCATATTACTATAACAGAATAACTGGGGCAACTAGCTGATTAAAAAAAAAAAGATGTTTTGGACTCCTGTTCCTCAGGTTCCAGTCCAAGACTGTGCGGACCCCACAACATTAGGCCTCTGGCAAATATGACACATCCCAGTGGAAGGGTCCAGGAAAGGGTTCCGGAAGCTCACTGGTGTGCCAGCCTCGCCTGAAGTGGGAGCCCGAGGTCCCAGTGGCAGACCTGTCTCCAAAAACAAGGTAGACCACATCTGAGGAAAAATGACATCTAAGGTCAATCTCTGGTTTCCACATGTGTTCACACACAAATGCACATGTACTTGATCACATGTGAAATGCACACACACACACACACACACACACACACACACACACAGAGAAATGATTGCTGTAGAGACCTGAATTCCAGTGTTTGGTTAGCAAAGGAAAGGAACTAAAAACCAAGATTATAGATGTCTCCTCCTTCCCTATGAGGTAGTTCCCTTTCCCATCTGTGACTGGAAGCCATGTAACTATTCTAGCCAGTGATTTTAGCTGTGTACTATGCACCCCATTTGCAGCTGGACAAAGAAGCAAGACCTACAGCCAATGTTTAGTGTGTGTGTTGTGTGTCTGTCTCTGTGTGTGTGTATGTGTCTGTGTCTGTGTGTCTGTATGCGTGCACATGCATGTCTGCAGAGGCCAGAAGAGGGCATCAGATCGCCCTGGAGCTGGAGCTACAGGTGGTGGCAGACTGCCCAACGTAAGTGCTGGGAACAACAGCAATTTCTGTTCCTAACCGATGAGCAATCTCTCCAGTATCCCTTCCCTGAGAGCAGCGCGCGTGCGTGCGCGCGCGCGCACACACACACACACACACACACACAGCCAATTTTAGAAAACCACTGGTCCAAGGAGATACTTCCATGGCAGGTCCCTTGATGTCCCCCTTAAAAACAAGGTGAGCCCAAACACACATTAACAATTAAATTTTGAGAGCCAATAAACAAACATTTGAGAGCCATAAGAGACAAAAGACTAGACTTCCCAACAATGTCCTGGGACAACTGTATCAAGCTGAAAAAAAACAAGAACTTTAAAAAATGTAAAACTTGTGTTGGTTTATCTTGAGTGGGGTGGAAATCAAACAACACCTTTGTGGACCAGTTCTCTCCTCCCACCTTAGTGCCGGTTTTGGGAATTGAACTCAGTTTCCCAGACCTTAACAGCAAGCCCCCTACCTGCTGAGCCATCTCACTGGCCCAGAAAATGTGAGATAATCTGTGCTGACAGAAAAGTTCACTATCAAGGCCATCAAGATGACTCAGCTGGTGTGGTTCCCGGGAGCCACAGTAAGGTGGAAAGAGACAGCAGCTCCCCAAAGCGGCCCCTCCCGCAGGTGCACGCCCTCTGAGGTCAAGGTTCTGGGGGTACCTAGCTCAATGCCCTGCAAGCACTTGCCCTGCAAGTGGGTGTCTCTGAGTGTCGCTCGAGGGGTTTCATTGTGGGGTCCGGTGACTCCTTGTTCTAACAGCTGCAGCCTCTCCTCACATGGGCTCAACGGCATGCTGCCCTGAGAGCGGGGACCAAACTGGGCTGGCATCCATATCTCCTTTGGAGACTCGGACTCTGCCCTTTGCCCAAGCTCAGGGGCTACAGAGACGTGGCTGTGGGTATGGAGCTTCCATAGGTCAGAGGACCAACAGCCTGGGCCACCTAGAGGCCTGCAGATGACCTGGGGGTCAAGAAGGGTGAGGGGCTGGGAGTCGGGGCTGGCTGCCTGCAGTGTCCCCAAGGTCTGGGGTCTGGTAGTCACAAGCTGAAGATTCCTGACAGCCCCTGTGTCTGTGTAAGGCCAAGAGTCACCCACAAAGGCTCCCACCGAGGAGTTAGTGGTGGGCCACTCCCAACGCCAGCCTGCATGACAGTGTGTTGAGGAGCGAATCTTCAGTGTGATCTGCATTAGGGTCCTTGCAGGCAGTTCGCTGTAAAACTCTCTTTGGGTGGCTCCCTAAACGGCCTGTGTTAGTGTCCCTTCCTGGTGCTGTGATAGAAATACCCTGACAAAAGCAGCCCAAGGAAAGGGTTTTGCTTTGGCCCACGGTTTGAGGGTGCAGTCTACCCTACTGGAGAAGTCCCAGGGGCAGGAGCCTGGAGGCGACTGCTACGGGGCATCCTCCATCAGGAGACAGAGCTGGCCGCTGGTGCTTCCCTAGTCTGGCATAGGGATAGGGTCTTCCCACTCCACTTAACCTGATCTAGACAATCTCCTACAGACGTGCTCAGAGGTGGGATGCCCCTCTGTATGTGGTGAATATGTTTTATTACCATTGGTTAATAAAGAAGCTGATTTGGCCAATAGACAGACAGAATAGAGCCAGGCAGGAAATCCAAGCAAAGATACCAAAGATACAGGGAAAAAGAAGGCGGAGTCTGGGAGATGCCAAGAAGCAAGATGTGAGGTAACAAGCCACGGGCCTCGGGGAGATACACGGATTGACAAATGGTTTGGTTTAAGTTATAAGAGCTAGTTAATAGTAAGCCTGAGCTAATAGGCCAAACACTTCATAATTAATATCAAGTCTCAGAATGGTTATTTCAGAACTTGCGTGGGGGAGAGAAACTTGCAGGTACAGACGTGTGTCTCCTAAGGGATTCCAGATCCAATCAAACCCTGGCTGACAGTCAATATTAGCCACATCTCCCTTCTTAGAGGCATCCCTTTGTTACGAGGAGATGAATACTCAGACACAGGGCATAGCAAGGGAAAGTTTTTGCTTCAGCCAGCAGGGACCTCACCCACCAATGGCCCCGGGGTTTTTAAGGGCAGAGAGAGAAGTAGTCCAGGCATCTAGCTTGACAGCTGAAGGGGACAGGGAAGGGAGTGGGAAGGGGGTGCGTCACCGAGTACTCAGTTTGAAGCAAACAGTTTCAACAGAAGCCAAGGTTAGTGGTTATCCAGCTGGAGGGAGTCCCACATGCACAGGCAGCTGGGATAAACGTTGGCTGAAGCACAGTCTGCACAGCCTTTCGACAAAGGCTGAGACAGGTTAGCTAGCACATCCTGACCTGTGGTTCCTACAATAGAGTTGTAGTTCTCCATCAGGGAGATCAGATTCTTGTTCTGCAGTTCTCAACCTGTGGGTCTCCAGCCCTCTGGGGGGGGGTGAAATGACCCTTCCTCGGGGTTCGAATATCAGATATCCAGATCTTTAACATTTGATTCATAACGGTAGCAAAATTAAAGTTATGAAGTAGCAATGAAAATAATTTTACAGTTGGGAGTCAGCACAACATGTGCTAAGGATCGCAGCATTAGGAAGGCTGAGAATTCCTGCATAATTCTCTTCAGTCTCGGAGGGTCATGTCCCATCAGCCATAGGGGAAACAGCAGAGTAGGTGGGCGTCCTGAAGCCCGCTTCCCACTCCCCTTTTTCACTTGCTTCTGTCCCCAGATCCCATTCTCAAACTGAAAGGCGCCAGCATCTTTCTCGTGGACTTCCCCATAAGAAAAGCACACTTTCTCAGTCAACACAGTGCTTGCCATGAGAACTGAGCTCTGCCCCAGTGCCCATATAAAAGCCAGGCATGGGCTGCAGATGCAGCTCAGTGGATAAAGCCACCAGCTACCAAGTCCCAGAACCTTAGTTCAAGCCTCCCCACACCCCCACCTCCCAGCACCCATCCACAGGGTGAATGGAAAACTGATTCCCAAAACTTATCCTCTGACCCTACACACTCATGCCACAGCACACCCTCACCCGTATGTGCTTACACACACACACACACACACACACACACACACACACACACACACGACAAAACATAAGAAAGGGTTTTTAAGTAAAAGATACCAAAAAATAAAAGCCAGGAACTATGGGCACCTGTTCTTTGCTGAGCAGGGAGACACAAGAAAGATGCGTGGGACTCGATGGTCGGGAAGCTTAGCCTAGTTGGTGAGCTCAGGTTCCGTCAGAGACCCTGTCTCAAAACTTAGGGTGGAGAGTCACTGAAGAGACACCCAGTGTTGACCGAAGACACCACATCACATGTACAAACACACATGGGGAACCTAAGGCCCACACATGTACACATGCAAACACACACGGGGAGATGGGGTTACATGCTGCTTTCAGCAACAAATCTTTAGGGGGAATGTTTTTAAAGGGTTATTGGAAGCCAGGCATTGGTGGCTCACAACATTAATCCCAGCACTCGGGAGGCAGAGGCAGGCAGATGTCTGGAGTTCAAGGTCAGCCTGGTTTACAGAGCTAATTCCAGGACAGGCTCCAAAACCACAGAAAGACCCTGTCTCAAAAGACAAACAAAAGTTTATTGGATTTCTTTTCCTCCTCCTCCATTTCCTTAGGTGATTTGTGTGTATGAGAGACACAGATTCTTGAAGTCCAGGCTAGCCTAGAACTCACTATGTAGCCAAGGACGACCTCGGGCTCTGATCCTCCAACCCTGTCTCCCAAGTGCTGGAATTACAGGCATGCATCACCATCCTCAGGATTGGCTGAAATATTTTAAGCAACAGACATCATGACTTTTCAAATCTAAGTAACTGATGCTGGTTATTTTAAAATAAAAATGTTTTATATATGAATAGTATCTGTATTAAACATTTCAAATGTTTTGGTTATTGCTAATATTATCCACCTTATGTAGGTATTCAGAGGTGCACACCCCAAGGAGTGTTGTGATTGCGCCTGTGAGACACCAGGAGGTGCCATTGAGCTGAGTTTTTCTTTTTCTGGAGAGCATGGGGGGGGGGGGA